GGGTCTCCACTACGCACTCCCCCTCATTCACAATGATATGATTTTTTGTTCTTTGATGCCTGATACCTGATCCTATCGATACCTTGTGATCACACAGGCTGGTGTGCTTCTTCCATGTGGGCTCTGTTGCTTCTGAGGTAGATGGCCACTAGTTTATCTTCAAGCCTTTAAGACCCCAGACACTATATCTTTTGATAGCCGGGCACCATCAGCTTTCTTCACCACACTTGTTTATGCACCCATTTGTCTTCAGCAATCATGTCAGGAAGGTGAGCATCACGGAATGCCGGGTTATTAGAACAAAGTGTTCTTGCACTGAGGGAGTACTTGAGCAGAGGGAGGCCCTTTTCTTTCGTACTCATTGTTTGTATTTTGGTCTACATATTATTATTTTATCCATACCACCTTATTTTGATTTTGTTTTTTATTGTTTCTGTTTGGCTTCCCAGTTTGTGACCCACAGGAGGAGAGGATGCACGGTGATAATAACTGATAAAGGGCTTGATAGGGGAGGCAGTGGTGGGGAGTGGGTAATAGGGAAAGGGGATTTCAGGAGTAAATAATGAATGCGGGAGGGAACTGTGATTGCACAAGTCATTTCAAAGGTGATTTAACCTTTTTTTGGGGGGGCGGACACGTGAATGTTCTAAAATTCATATGGTGATGATTGTACGATTTTCCTTAATATGACTGAATGATTGAACTATTGAATTGTATGATATATAAAAGATGTGCCAATAAAACTGTTAGACTGTCCAGTGTTAGTTTTACTAATCAATGGGTTTTTCACATGGATGCTAAAACTAAAGGATGTTGGAGTGAGAAGGGTCTTTAGAGGTCATGTGATCCAAACCCACTCATTCCAGAGCAAATAAGGCCACTGAGGCCCAGAGAGGAGAAAGTTTTGCCTGAGAGCAGACCATTGTGCAGAGCAGGCCTGGCTAACCAAACAAAAATCCAAACTCACAGTCGAGTTGATTCAGACTCATAGCGACCCTGTAAGACAGGGTAGAACTGCCCCTTTTGAGTTTCTGAGACTGTAAAGGCCTCATCTTTCTCCCATGGATCGGCTAGTGGTTTCAAACTGCTGACTTGTGTTTAACAGTCTAACTCGTACGTAACCCACTATGGCTGGAGGGTGCTTGCCTAGGCATCAGGTCTTTGAAATGTTCTTTTTAAGAGACAGTGCAAATAATTGACCCATGTAGTGTCAACCCAAGCTGCTAAGGTACATGTCTTCTCCGAGTCATACCTAGCATACAGTTAGGCAAGTCTGACTTTGAAAGGTGGCAAGTGGTTCTGGATCCTGTTTGGCAAAGGGAGATGGAAAATTAACTCGAGTGGCAGCCATCCTAATGAGAACAGGGCTTCCCACTCCTTACCTGCAGGAGCTCCCTGGTGGGCTGCTGCTGCTTCTCTTCCAGCTGGGCAATCAGACCACTGAGGTGGGAGATGTTGCAGGAGAACTGGGTGATGGCACCATTGATGCTGTTGTAGATGGCCAGGTCCAGCTCCTCCAGGCGGGCCAGGAGGCGATACTCGTGCTCCTTCAGCGAGTGATACAGCTGCTCGAACTCCCACACGATCTTCTCCCTCTCCATCTGAGTCAGGCTCTGTGCAGGGGACAGGGAAGGATGGGAAGAGACTACAGCAGCGGTTCTCAAGCTCTGGGTCGCGACCCCTTTGGGAGTTGAATGACCCTTTCACAGGGGTCACCTAAGACCATCGGAAAACACATATTTCCAATGGTCTTGGGAACCGAGACACGGCTCCTCTATCCGTCTCCAGGTGGGCCCGCCCACATGCAGATACGTCCACATACGAGTACCCATGCTACACCATACTTCAAGACAAAATTTCATTTACTTGTCATTAGAAGTAAATATTTCAGTGGTGTGAGTGGCAATACTGGGAGGGTAGAGGGAGAGTGGGTTGGAAAGAGGGAACCGATTATAAGGAACTATATGTGACCTCCTCCCAGGGGGAGGGACAACAGAAAAGTGGGTGAAGGGAGACGTTGGACAGGGCAAGATATGAAAAAATAACAATTTATAAACTATCAAAGGCTCATGAGGGAGGGGGGAGCGGGGAGGGAGGGGAAAAATGAGGACCTAATGCCGGGGGCTTAAGTGGCGAGGAAATGTTTTGAGAATGATGAGGGCAATGAATGTACAAATGCGCTTTACACAATTGATGTATGTATGGATTGTGATAAGAGTTGTATGAGCCCCTAATAAAATGATTAAAAAAAAAAAAAGTTGTATGAGCCCTTAATAAAATGATTAGAAAAAAAAGGTAAATATTTCATAATATAGAATTATATATTGGCTTTGTGATTCATCACTATACTTTAATTATGTTCAATTTGTAACAATGAAAGCACAGCCTGCATATCAGATATTTGCATGACGATTCATAACAGGAGCAAAATGACAGTGATGAAGTAGCAATGAAAATAATTTTATGGTTGGGTGTCCCCACCACATGAGGACCTGTATGACAGGGTTGCAGCGTTAGGAAGGTTGAGAACCATTGGACTAAAGGCTTGCTTCCAGAGGCTTTCTCAAAGCCTCACCATTTCATTCAACGGCACAAGGAAACTGTACCTTGCTCGCTCCCTCCTGTGTTCCAGTCTTTCCTGAGGATCAAGAATGGCCAGCTGCCTCCAAATCAACTGTCACATGTCAGGCCCCACGTGTGGCCGGTCAACGGCTCCACGGGGTTTTCAATAGTTGCTTTCTCAGAAGGAATAAGGCCTGGCTTTCTCAGCAGGACCCTCAGGTAAACCAAGACTGCCAACTTTTAAACTAACCGCCCAGCATATGAACTTCACCATCTCCTCTGCAAACTCCAGGCAGAGATAGCCTGGAGGCAACTAAGACGTACTGCTTGCTCTCGGGGTACTTAGTCAAGTGAGAGTGCAAGTAATACAAGTCAACCAAAAACCAAACCAAACTCACTGCCACTGAGTCAATTCTGACGCACGGAGATTCGTAGGACAGGGCAGAACTGCCCTGTGAGTTCCTGAGACTGCCTCTTTATGGTAGAAGAAAGCCTCATCGTGGACTCAGTGCCAATAAAACTGAAAGAAAGCCTCATCTTTCTCCCGCAGAGAGAGCGGCTGGTCGTTTACCAACTGCAGACCTTGTGGTTAGCAGCAAAATGTATAACCACTAGGCCACCAGAGCTCCTCATACAAGCACACGTGGGGATGTAGTCAGATAGGGGGGCAGCCTGGGGTGGGAGAATATGGAAAAGTCTTCCCAGAGGCAAGGTTCACTCCAGCTCTTGAGAGGATGAACAGTCCACTCAGTGGGCAGTGAGTGGGGGGCTTTCCCGGAAGAAGAAATGGTACAGGCCTAGGAGTGTGATGGGAAGGCAAATGGTTCTGTCCAGCTGGAAGAGGTGAATGCTGAGGGAAGAGATCAGAAAAGCTAAGGAGTGACCAGATCATGCCTTCCCTGGAAGGCTGAGGAATACGGATTTCGTTCCCCGAGCAACGAGGAGCCAAGAAAGGCTACCACACAGGGAAGGGAAAGATTAGATATATGCCCTATATGAGAGAGAGGGTGAAAGGGAAAGAAAAATTCTGATTTGAGTTCTCAACTCTCATCCCTCTGTCCAGTGGCTTAGAATTTCCCCTCCCCCACTCCATCTCACAATGCCCCTTGGATCATCTCTCTGGCCTTCAAGGGTGCCTGCCAATTATCCCATCACTGGGTCCCCTCCGGTATCGCCTTGTGAACCACATTTCTCCATCTCCACTTCTCTTAGAGTTTTCTTCTAAACAAGTGTCAGCAAACAGGACCATGGATAAGCGAAGCTGTACCACCACACCAGCTCATATAGTCCGTGACTATTTCTGTGTCCTAACAGCAAAGATGGACATTTGTGACAAGGTCCAACGGCCTGCGGAGTCCCAAATATTCATTCTCTGTCACGTGACCAAAAGTTCACTGACCCTGAACTCCCCCAATTCACCATCCCTCCAAGCACTTCTCTTAGGCATTGGTTGTACAACTTAGTATCGTACACACATCTCTGTTTATAAATTTCCTTCCCAAGTTCACACCCTTCTCAACCACATTCATCTTCTGAAGACATCAATCAAATACCATCCTGAAAGGACATGAAAGATCACCAGAGCCATAGCTTTTCTAGAAGGTGCGACTGATACTCTGGTAGGGACCATTTTGCCTAGCCATAATTCCTCACCTTACAAGATACCAGCAATCCTTCCTGGAACCTTTGTGGCAACCAGAGAAACACCCACACGCCCTTGGAGGGGAGCAAAGGGCAGCAGTGGCCTTTGTGGGGAATCACCAATCTTATACAATCTACCCAAGTCACAGAAGAGGAAATTGGAGCCCAGAGACGTTTCCTCGCCATCGACACAACTCATTGGGGTCAGGGCCAGGAAGTCGGTCCAGGTGCTCGGAATCTCAAGAAAGGGCTGTCTCTCTCCTGACAAGCCTACCACAGCAGGCTGGGCTGTGTGTAATCATTTGAGTCCATCATGTCTCACTGGGAAGATTCTCCACCCATCAGACCTATTTTCAAGGGGAGCCAAGGTCTCAGGGGATTGTGTGGACAAAGCAAATGTCGGGGTCTGAGGGCACCATGGGAGAGGGCGGCCTGTCTAAAAGCTGTACTATGACCTGGCTGGGGGTGGTTAACACATAGTCTCACATGAGGTGTTCAGACATTACTAGGCATGGAGTTTGTTTTTCAGAAGCACACATCTCTGCTGGAAGGAGGTATACATTATTTTAATTATTTGCTTAACGGTAAAAATCACACAGGGGATGGATATACTCCAAAAACCAAACTTACTGCCATCGAGTCAATGCTGACTCACGGCAACCCTGTTGGACAGGGTAGATCTGCCCCCTGTGACTCTTTACAGGAGTAGCAAGCCCAGTCTTTCTCCCCAGGAGAGACTGGTGGTTTCAAACTGCTGACCCTGCAGATCACTGTCCAATGCATGACCACTGTGCCACTAGGGCTCCTTAACGGATAAACGAGGACACTTCAAAAAAAATTATGGATGGATTGAAGGAAAAGATAATGGAATTGTCCCATGAACTTTGTGAAGCCCTGTCATATTAACTGTCTATTATAAAAACTTCTGTACCTTTGGACCTCAAAACAAACTCGCACAAATATGCCTATCACAAATTAACTTATCAGCAACCTGACAGGGCCTTGGGAGGGCGGGGCGAGGAAGCAGAAGGAAACGTTTGGAGTTGGGGAATTGTCATGGATGCCAACAGCCCAGCAAACAGCAACAGTGGGAATCCCTCAGAGTCACCATTAGCTCCTGCCTACAGGATGACGTCAATGTGGCCAACTATGCCCAAGAACTGCATCTATTTCAGCCTTGCCAAGGATCAACCCGAATCTACAGAGCCAGCAGATTAAACCTTTGAAGATCGGAATGTCCAGGGAATCCCACTTTGGTTCCTGTCATTTCCCCAAAATGTGAGAACTGCACCCAGTGGCCACAGGGGAGGTGGCTGGAT